TTTATTTTGTAATTGTGAAACAAGAGGCAGAGCAGAAGATATTCTTTGCAAAAACATCCTCCCTTCCTCCTATGTTCACTAGTTTAAAATATCCCCGTTGTGTGGTTTTTGTGAATATGTAGTAGTCGAAAAACCCACACCTTCGACTAAATATCGTTTCAAGTTCGTTTAAAAAATTTGAGTGTGCCTTTAGAGCACGTCATTTCATCACAGTTATCGCGGAATAGTTCATACAGCGTCAATTGGTATCACCTATGTATTGCGCCATGCATCCGGCTTCCACGTGAAGGTGTTCGAAAGCTGCAACTTCCATTTGAGGCTCCTTCGTACAAACAGATGTGCTCCCACGCCTCAGAAAGGTCCAGACTTATGCTGTATTTCGTTTGTGTATGAGTTCATGACGTCGTTGGAAATGGCCACCGTACTTTTTGTCATCGTCCGTTCTCCACTTCTGAGCTTGCAACCTGTCTCTGTCTTCAGGTGTATGTCCAGGTGTTTTTCACCACAAGAACCATGAATAAATCTTTATCATTCAATGACTGGAAGACATTTAATTTCTTCCACTTCTAGATGGAGTCCAAACGAGGATACTTCTTGCGAAATCCTCATCAAAGGCGGAGGTCGTGTTGAAGAAAAAGATACAGGGAAGGGTCAATTTCGGTCGGAGGAGAAACTTACAACATTTCCATGAATTGCTCAGCTCCTACTGTTAGATCCGCATTGTGTTCTGCTTTTGGAGGGTTGGAATATCCTTGATACCGTGAACATCTTACTGCTTCACAAAGTCTACTCCGAACTGTACACCCTGTGGCACTACCTGTTTTTTTCTGATTTATCGACTTGCGGAGCAGTTTAAGATTCTCTGTTATATTCCTGGTTGATTTATATGAGCCTTCAACTTGTCAGTCCCTTTTTGATGTTACGGTTCCTTTCAGTACTCTCTTTGATCATCCTGATGTTCAGATTCTCACTGGATTCCCTATTCCGTTGTTTCGTTCTTACAACTGATGTGATATTCTTTTCCATGTGAACTTAAGAGATAGTGCATCGATAAAGCCTCGAATGCTGATTACGAATATGCAGATTAAAAGTGCTACGGGGACCTCCCAGACGAGATCTGGGTGGTCAAAGTTTGAGTTCTGGCTCGTAAGCGCTGCTGATCGATGCCTCGGCAGTGCCACCGTGGCCTCGTGGTCTGCGCTTTCAAGTACGCATTCGGGTTGCATCGGTTGCCGCCGAAAGTTTTCGTTCGCGTATCAAAGAGCTTAATAATTTTCGAAATTCTTCCGAATTTCGGACTCAGTAAAGGGCAGTGATCAAGAGCAATCAGGATAACGACATACTCGATCTAATTATGGGATTAGTCAATCTGCCCTCTCTCCATATTATCCATCCGACAAGTTCAATCTTGAGCGAAATTCTGTTCATGGGAAAATTCGACCCCCCCCCCGAAACGGACTATCACTTCCTTCTGACGAAAAAAAAAACGCTTCGTCTGACCACGTGGCGATTTTGGGCAAAACTTTGAACTGTCGGATGGAAATATGTTCGGAGAGAGCAGATATGACCAAATTCATACTAGATCGAGTATGTCGTATACTTGATGTACTTGATCTACTTGCCCTACTGGGCCGTAAATTCGGAAGAATTTCGAAAATTAGAGTTGAAGCTCTTATACGGAGCGAAGCAAAAATTTTGCGCCAACCGGATGCAAACCGCATGCGTTTGAATTGAAAGCGACGATGTTACCAGCGAGGCCACCCGTTTTGGCATGCGAGGCACGATCAGCAGCGAGTTCGCCAGAACCACTTTGACCACCCAGATCTCGTCTGGGAGGTCCCGTAGCACTTTTAATCTGCATATTCGTAATCAGCATTTGAGGCTCTATCGATGTACCTAGGTCTCCATTCAAAGTTCCATGGGAAAGTTCAAACCATTCCCTTGTTAGACTATTTCATTTCCAGATGTGATGGAATGCATCGATGAAGCCGCGGATATTGTCAAATCCCCTTTATGGATCGCTGCTCAGTGCTTGCATATCGTACTCTCTATGCTCACTTTGGTACTTTCGATAAAGTTCGTGCTGATGCTGAAGAAGTCTACACTCTTTAATTCATCGACTGTATATCTTCTACTGCTATTCACTGCATTCGCAAACCTGCATGCGATAGTTATCATCGGGATGAAGGTAAGCTGGTAGAATCCGAGCAGTTCCAGCGAAAACCCCTGACATGCGTTCTCAAAGGATAAAGTCTTCGCCGTTGATCAGTCCTTTGGAGAAGCGGCACGCATTTCACTTCCATTCAAAATCGTAGTGGCTTATTCAGTGCCCTGTAATCTACATATACAATTACTTGCGGCGGCCAGCAGATGTACGAGCTCAGTGTTTCATCCTCCTAAACAAAACTGGTACCTTGGAGGTAGAAGGCTTGGCCCGGGCGGGAGCCGATCCAGGATTTCATCCCTGCCCCGTGCGCGTGGTAATGTGCCACTTGGCAACGCTGGCATTTGTTCGACAGACAGGCGTTCTTACCAAAAAAAAGAGGCTCTACATGTTGATGAATTTCCACACGATGTGGAAACCAAGCAACTGTGATGAATACATCCATTACTTAATCATTCGGACATACGCAGTTGTGTAAGGGCGCTAATAGCCATGAGTGAAGTGGAGGGGAAGGTCTGAAGGACCTTTGTACAAAAATGGGGCTCATTTCGTCCAAGCAGCAATGCCGTCCTTCACTTTTGTCCAAACGCTGGAGCTCATCATCTTTCAGATTTGAGTCCTCATTACTGTTACGAGATCCCACTTTTGTACCAGAAGCTCTTTATTGCCCAGGGTTAATAGCCCATCTGAGTTACTTCGAAAATTTAATTATTTTTACAGGTTGTTGAACTGATCAGAGACACGGTCATGACGGACGCTTGCGATCTGACCAGAAAGACGTCAGACTGTATGATTCTGACATATCTTGTGTTGAGCTGTGTAGTTGGAATGGTGTTCTGCCAGAATATTTTGTGGATTGATCGGCTCGTTGCCACAGCATTTCCAGCATTACATAATCGTTTCTGCCGGGTGTTCGCCATTATTCTTTCCTCAATCACGGTGAGTTTTTAGTGAATGTGCCGCAGTTGGTTCCTCGCCGTTTGTTCCTGCAGTTGTTGGGTTTTAGAATGGTCGGGACTAGTTCGATCTCAGCAAAAAAAGCAATCGATCCATCACGAGAAATGTAGGTATCGGTAGGAACTGGGGTTCGTTCTGATACAGAATGCGCCATGGCGACTAAAGAAGGAGGCAAATTTTCTTAGCTACGGGTGAGGCGTTGGGTAGGTTGGCAGTGTTAGTGCAACTCCGAAATTCCCTGATGCGGTGTCCCCTGTCATAGCCTGCCTACGCTCTTGCTAGATTTTCCCCAAAATGCTGCCATCGAGCGCGAGCGGGTGTGGACACCGCCGTCGAAATATTAGAAAAGACATTTTTTTTTGCTGTTATTGTTTGATAACAGCTTGAAAAACTGTCATTTCAAGTATTTTAGTGGCCCCGGTAGCGTAATAGGGAACGCACTGCTCGGTAAGCAGAAGATGCGGGTTCGAATCCCGTCCGTGGTCCGACTTTTGCCCACAACTCAGCATTCTTGTGACAAAAAATGACAGTTCTGTCGCCCCTCAATTTCCTTTCAAGACCAAATACGCCCTCCCCTTCCCCGAAGACGTAGCAAATCTCCCGGTCAGTTCATACAGCCACATGGGTAGGGGGGTGTAGCTCGCCGACATCATGAGAGGGATGCTGAGGCCCACTTCTAATACGAATGATTAATCTGTGAAGGATTTTCAATGTTTTATGACATCCTAACTCGAATGCGCGGCAGAGGGTTTGAGGAATTTGTTCAAGGAAGTTCAAGCTTTTCTGAGCCATATTCAGAAATCAGTTCAGGCCAGTAGCATCCACTGGAATGCTACTATCCCGAGAAAGCTGAATTACGGGCAAAAGCCAAACCCAGCGGGAGTCGAACTCGCATCCCTCGCCAACCGGGCGAGTACGCTAGCCATTGCTCCATCAAGGCCGTTCCCTTCCATCCCCTCCCCCTCTCCGCTCACCAACTGATGGGTTCCGTGCAACAATGACGTATTCTTTTCCCAGTATCTGTCAAGAGGAAAGTGGAACAGGCGTACGATTACCTATAGTGCAACTGAGGCACTGATGACCAGTCCAGAGGGTATATAGTTATCTATGCTAACCAAAACCTAAATAGAACTTTTAATCCCTCACTACAGTTTCACAACCCCTCACCTGCCTCTGAGGAATCCTGAGCGTACGGCGTGCCCTGACACCCGTCCCTACTCTGGCCGCGAGCCTCTTGAAAACATTTGTTGCTAGTACGTGACGACTTAAAATTGATGTGCCGCGTTTATTTGATCCCTTGCTTGCCCAGGAATCACATTGGTATCAAAAACCATAAAATCACACAGCACATACCTGACTATCAGTGAAAGGAGCTAGGCCAAATAAATGTGGTCTATCCTCAGGCAGAACATTTGTACAGAACGCTCGTTTGCAGCTATCAGATGCAACCAAGAATCCCTGCACCCCCGCTGCCCTCAAAAGCAGAAACGAGTTCGAGAGTGCCTCGGCTTAGTAATTTCTGGCATAATGATTGCAGCAGAGTAGTGTTGCGACGAATGGCGAATAGCGTGTTTAAGGCTTGATTTTCAGACGATCATTGCTTTTGTACTGCCGTTTCTTCTTCTTCGAAACGATCCGTACAACGACGTTGTGCTGACTTGTATGATACTCCCTTCTGGAAGTGCACCACAGATCAACCGTCTCTTCTACTCGTTTGTCGGTCTAGGACTGCTAGCACTTGCTGCTCTCGTATCACTTTATCTGATAAATCAACGGAGGGAGAAAATGTAAGCGCATTTGCTAGATTCAACGTATATCGCAACATACATACTCGATCGCTGCGGATGCTGAGGCGCGTCAAGGGGCAGGGTTTTTCGCGGCGCCAGCTCATTCTCCACCAGTTGTAGAAGCGGTTAAGCGACAATAGTTGGTTTAAAGACAGCCCCCGCGCTCGAGTAGTACATGGTCGTCCTTCCTTGTGCAAGTAGTACAGCCCCCAAGCTAGAGACTGTCCCACTCTATTCGTCTGCACAGCGAGCGAGAAGCGAGCTACAGCCGCTGTAAGTTCTAGTTCTAACGCCTGCTCAGTTGGACCGCCTTACTTGCTAGATGTCCTCCGACGGAGGCCACTCAGTTGTTCTTAGTC